GCGAGTCTAGCTGGGCTCTCGCTGGTCTCAGCCCCCGGGCAGCTCTGCTGGCTGCACAGAAGCTAACAGGCCCCGGCGATGATAGAGGGACATCGCTTTGATATTCAGAAGAAGGGGTCAGAGCATCTCCTGCGAATGGCACACGCCTTTGGAAGAGAGTGAAGAGGACACCCTACCCTAACATCCGAATCTCTAAGCTCTAAGGCCAGAATCCCACCAGTTGGGAGCTGGAAGAATCACTAAAGAGCACCTTTCACCATCCCCCAGTCTTCACAGGAGGAAAACTATCTCAAAAGACTTTTTAAACATGTGAACGTCCTGAAAGGAGGCGTTGTGAGGCCGGTTCCACTCTGTTGAGACGCATTCCCTGTTTTAGGGGCCAGGGGCCCATGGCTCTGAGCTCAGAAAATGCAAACATCTCTTAAGCACCTGGTCCACAGTCACACAATCAGGTGAATTTTGCCTGATGTTTATTCCCCCGAATCTTGGTGTCAGCAAGCACGTTGACCAATTCACATTATATTCTTGAAAAATTCTCATTGAGATTTGTATGTGGAAAAGCCAAGCATTCGAATGTCTCAATAAACGTACCCACTCTGTTGGAAAGGCTAAATTAATTCAATGATGGAGAGCTTTATCCAAATTTGCCAATTTAAAAGTCATGTAGAATCTAAATTCGCTTACCAGATTCCTTAACAATTTTTCATCCCTGTTTTGTATTAGAAATGCTGCATTAGAAAAAGAAGTTGGAGTTCTCATTCAATGCCTAAACTTTACATTTCTCAAAGGAAATGGTCTAATGAAAAGAATTCTTAACACTACACTTTCAGAGAAGGCAGACTTCATTGAACACCCTTTTGTTGTTTTTTAAATTGAATTTACAGAAACATGTTCTGTCCTATAATTCTCTTGCTTAGAAATTTGGGTCACGAGGAGTGAATCATGGCCTAAACAAACAGACGTCCTTCAAATTAAGCCCTCAAAATGAAAGGGTTTCTTTTTCCTTAGCACATGTGCAATATGAACATTATAATGAAGTTTTTGAAGTTAAAAATATTCATTTTGAAGACTCTAAGTTTTAACATTTTTGCATGAAAAGAAAGTGATTGAATGATCAAAGCTCTCAAGCAAAATCTTCAGAACCTACATGGCATAGAAAAGTCTACAAGAAAAATCAAGACAGTGCACACAGCACACATCCCTGTCAAAGTTCTAACGAGATCACAAACACTATTCTCTCAATTATGAAGTCAGAGTTCTCACTGGTTGTAGTTTCATAATAAAGTCATGATTTCACCGTCTATGGAGGAGGATCATGGGAGACAATCCTTTCCAATCACCCAACTTCATATAAAAGTTAGGAATTTGCTTTTAAACAAACAAACGAAAAAGTGTTTCACACAAAGGAAATACTGAGAGAACGAAGATGTCACTCAACTGCAGGAAAGGGAGTCAATGTTATTCATAGAAATTTAATAGCAGAGAAGTGACTCGAGTTTGAAAAGACCAGCATTTAGTCTAACTCTGCAAATGCCATGTGAGTGCTGCCTGTGACGCCCGGAGAGCAGGCCCAGGCTTTGCTTGTGACCAGCAGAGCTGGAAAACTCGGAGCTAAAGGCAGCTCCAAAATACGTCGCCACCCCCGGGTCCTAATTCTGCCCCTCGAGGCTGTACTGATCACCCTTAGTCACTCTTGAGCCTAACAACCCTTCCAAAATGCAAAGGCAGTCTGGTTGAGCATGGCCCTATGAACCGGGATGCCACGGTTCAATTCCCGGTCAGGGCACATGCCTGGGTTGTGGACTTAGTCCCCAGTGTGGGGTGTGCAGGAGGCAGCCAATCAATGATTCTCTCTCATCATCGATGTTTCTATCTCTCTCTCCCTCTTCCTTCCTCTCTGACATCAATAAAAATATGTATATTTTTTAAAAATGCAAAGGCTCTCTCTCAGACCACGTCTTCCTCTTAGTCTTTCCCAGATTAAGTCCTCCCCCCTCCCCTTTTTTTTTCAGCCTTCTCTTAAATTCCATGCCCCCCTTCCTGTCCAGTCATTCTCTTCTCGAATTTGTCTATATCCCTCAAAGTGTGTCCAGAATGAATGTAGGCCAGGGGTGGCCTGGTGCCCCCAGCTCTGATATCAGAAGAAAGCAGTGAGGGGAGATTCAGATGGGAACGAAAGCCATACAAAACATAAAGAACTAATGTTATTACTTAGCTGCAAGAAAATGAGAAAATATCTTCTTGCAAGAAAAAAGCACCCCTTGCCAGAAGATGAGAGACAGCAAGATATTGAAAACCTATTTGAAGAAATAATGGCAGAAAACTTCCCCCACCTGGTGAAAGAAATGGACTTACAGGTCCAAGAAGCACAGAGAACCCCAAACAAAAGGAATCCAAAGAGGACCACACCAAGACACATCATAATTAAAATGCCAAGAGCAAAAGACAAAGAGAGAATCTTAAAAGCAGCAAGAGAAAGAGTCGCAATTACCTACAAGGGAATACCCATACGACTGTCAGCTGATTTCTCAACAGAAACTTTGCAGGCCAGAAGGGAATGGCAAGAAATATTCAAAGTGCTGAATACCAAGAACCTACAACCAAGATTACTTTATCCAGCAAAGCTATCATTCAGAATTGAAGGTCAGATAAAGAGCTTCACAGATAAGGAAAAGCTAAAGGAGTTCATCACCACTAAACCAGTATTATACGAAATGCTGAAAGGTATCCTTCAAGAAGAGGAAGAAGAAAAAGGTAAAGATACAAATTGTGAACAACAAACATGCATCTATCAACAAGTGAATCTAAGAATCAAGTGAATAAATAATCT